GGCCGGGCTGCAGCAGCCGGGAGCACCCCCCCATACCCAGCACTCCTGCCCTGCCCCCCACAGTGCCCCCTGCTGGGAGAGACCGGGACTGAGGTAGCCGGGAGCACCCCCCCATACCCATCACTCCTGCCCCGCCCCCCACAGCGGGAAGTGCTCTCCTTTCAGAGGCCCTTGGGTGTCTCACTGGCTGTTGTTCGCTTGCAGGCTGGTACAGAGGGTACTCGCTCAGGAACAGAGCCACCTGGGTAAGTCTGCTGCTCCTCGCGGTGCGGAGGGGCCAGGGTGCTCGTCCTCTCCGTTGTCCCAGGGCCGGGCCCCAGAGCTGCTGTGGGGCGCTGGGGACACGGTGCGTGGCCTGAGGCCGAGCTCATGCTCTCTCCGCGTGGCGTCCCCTGCAGGAAATGGCCGGGCCTTGCGGGGAGTGACTTTAACCTGGTTTGGGGGCTCCGAGCCTCCCCCAATGCCTGCTCTGGCCCCATCAAGGACCTGGCCCTGGGTTGACCCACATCCGACTGGGTCGGGGGGTTCCTGCCCCATGAGGGCCGACACCCCTCCCTCTGGCTCTGCCCCCCAGATCAGGGTCGCTGTGCTGACGACTTCTCCTCTCCCCAGGGCATATTCCCTGTCACACTGATCCACCTGAAGGGTGCCCATGTGGAGCAGAAGGGGTAGGTACCGGGGGGGCGGGCAGGGAGGGGCTCTGGGCTGACTCAGCAAATGTTTTACTGGTCAGGGGGCTGGGTCCTCCCTGAACTGCACCTCACTGGGCCCATCACCCCCCCCCCGACACGTCCTAGTGCTTGGCCGGGTCCTACCTCCCTCCCCACCCCCGCCGTCCCAGTGCTTAGCCGGGTCCTCCCTGACCTGCACCTCACTGGGCCCACTCACCCCCCCCCCCGACACGTCCTAGTGCTCAGCCAGGCCCTTCCCCCGCCCCTGTCCCAGAGCTCGGCCGGGCCCTGCCCCCCCTCCCGTCCCAGTGCTCAGCTGGGTCCTCCCTGACCTGCACCTCACTGGGCCCACCCCCCCGCCCTGTCCCAGTGCTTAGCTGGGTCCTGCCCCCCCACCCCAGTCCCAGTGCTTAGCTGGGCCCTGCCCCCCCACCCCGGTCCCCAGAGCTTAGCCGGGTCCTCTCCCTCCTCCCATCCCAGTGCTCGGCTGGGCCCT